ATTCGCACAGGTCGTGACAGTATTTCAGTTTCTGTGTTCGTCTGGCACTGGTTTCCTCCTGATTTTGCAGTGATAGCTAACGGCAAGATTAGAGAACCTTTGCTTCTCTTTTAGCTAGAAGTCTCTTACGAAAGAGAATTAGTAAAAATCAGCTGAACTCCTGAAGTGGTCTCTTTTCACAGGTGAAAACTGGGATGCTGTTGAGAGGTTAAGGTCGCTATTTGAAAAATAATCCTCGGTTTCTGAGGTGAAAGATTCTTTGATTTTCTGCCTCAGATTTGCTTTGCCTCTATCTTTCTTATATATCTACAGTGAAAGCTGAAATTATCTCAGGACGAGTGGGTGATGGATGGCTTGCAAAGAAATGCAATGAGACCATAGGAAACTGATGAGGTGCTTTCTGTGGAAGCCAAGCTGCAGGACAAGAGAGGCAATTCAAAAGTGGTAGAACAGCTGGCAACTCCAACCCACGCCATCTGGGTTTGTGTGATTTTGTAATATTTATTGTCACTAACTCGGAGAGGAATATGAGTAGAGCTGGCTACAAGTGGAAATGAGCTGGCTTCTCAACAGAGCGAATTGTGTGCAGAGCCTTGGCAGGGACACACAGCAGGGTGAGCATCTGATACCAGCCGGCCAGCCATGAATTACTGCTTCATTGGTCAGATGGGCTACATGAAACAACAACAGAAAATTTTTCAGTCAGGCAAGGGAAGCCCTGCTGAAAAAAATGGCATTTCAAATCTATCATTCGGAGAGGGGAGTTAGAAGGTTGCCAGCTCTCCATCTTGAGTCTGAAGTTTGTGAGAGCCATGTCATTTTTTCCTTGAAACCTTAGCATCAATAGATGTGGGCTTACTCCAGAATCTTATGTTTAAAAACAGTCTTTCTCGGTCTGATGGTTAAGAAAAAACTGTGACCCACCTCTACCTAACAGCCGCAGAAAACGGAACAACCCCTGAGTGCATTTTCTTAAATCTTCTGATTTGAGCCAGTTTGTGGTTTTGGGACTCTCACGTGTGGTTGTGACAGGACTGGGCTGTCAGCGTCGAGCATATTCACGTGGGCAGCGCGACTGCTGCCTCAGGAAACTGTTCTCTGGAGGCGCCTGGTTTGCTCCATGAATGATGAAAGGAACGCTGCTGCTCCTAGCACAGCTGTCGTGGTTAGAAGCTCAAAGTGGGACAGGAAGAGTTCAGGCTTTTAGGTTTCTGTTCCTCATCTGTGAAATGGAATAACATGTGTTTTTCCTTCCTGCAGATCAGCCAAAGGATAAATTCCTCTTCTTCTGATACCATGATCTGGTAATTACATGAAAGCTCAACCTGCCTTACTTTTGTTTTTCACTTCTCATGGGACATTAGGAAAGCTTAAAACTTTTAGTCTGAGTTCAGTCAAGCCAGAGTTACAAAGGAAGACAAACAACGTTGCTTGCTTCCTTCCTGCCTGCCTTCTCTTTCTTTCTTTCCTTCGTTTTTGATCTCACACGTTTCAGTCCTAGTTTGGGAACTGACCTATTTTTGATCATTGACTGCAGTACTGAAGCACTGGAGAAATACATGCCATAAAATATGAAATAAAAATTAGCATTTTATTCTAGTAGATCACTATATTTTCTAAATCTTTTCTTCATCTTTGAAAGTCAGGTTTTGATTTTTTTTTTTTAATGGAAAAATACTGGTTCTCTATTCTGGGATTCACTCCAGAGCTGAAAACACTAGTGTTTGTAGTACATCAATTTACAAAACCTGTTAGTTAAGCTGAAGAAAAATGTAGCAAGATATTGAGTGCCAGAGAAGACGAAGTGCCTGGCTAAGAAGCACGCAAAAATGCATCTTATGTCCGGCTCACACTGAGTGCAATGCCTCAAAAGGGAAAGGGCATGGGTAATAAAAGCAGCAGCAGAGAGGAGTGCAATGAGATACCCCTCTAGAAAAGACTGCAACAATGACAGAAATATCTTCAACACTGAAGACTACTCTGCAACTAGTGTGTCAAGAGGAGACCAACTTACATGTATCCATCTCATGAACGGTGGTGAAGATAAATCAAGAAGTTAAGAAGGAAACTCATCCGTTTCTGTCAGCAGCATGGTGTGAGCTGGCTGTGCATCTTTTGAAAAGGAAGAATGCTGCTAGAGAAGCAACAGAGGGGTAGAAGACACAGCCATTGTGAAACGTGCTCGTCTCTCCCGGTAGCCCCAGAGCAAAGCAGAGGTGTGCCTGGGATGGCCCTGCTCCGGAGTGCCCCATCCCATGCTACCAGAACAGGGCTTTCCTCCAAAAAGCCTCTGTGCAGCTGTGAAGGCAAACGGGGAAGAGTGGTTCCTGAGCAAGGTTCAGACAGGTTCAACCACTCAAAGCAGCTGCCTGCGTGTTAGAAGATTTGAAAACCACTGTGAGAGAGAAATGCTCCATTGAGCTGAGTGCATCGTGTAGATATGTGTTCTGCACCCCTTACCCAAGGTGATGGAAGAGCCCTGACGGAGCAGGAGTGCTGGGAAGGAAGCCTTGTAGAGGCAATGTGCTTTCAAATCTGTCTTCTTCCTTATCAAGCAATATTGCTTTTCTCCTTCAAGAGAAAGGACTAGGAATTTTTCAGCCCATCATTAACTTCATCCATTTTACAAATTTTTATGTCCCTGCCTGGAGAGACCTCATTGCAGCTGAAAAAAAATAGGAGACCTGGAAGCACAACTTGAGCAGTGAATCCCAGCTGCGCTTGCTGGGCTGGGGACACCTCCTGCCCTGAATGCCCCATGTGTGTGCCCAAGGATCTGCCCCTCCCAGAGACTTGTCCCCAGTGAGGCTGTATGATGCTAAAGAAGTTCCCTTACGATGAGTTTCCCAGAGCCATTTTGTACAATACTCCATCACAAAGCTGGAAATTCATTCTCTTTGTGTTGCATTTGGTGGGATTAAGATTTGAAGTATTCAGGGGGAAAATAAAGTCATCTTTTGAAAGTGCCAGCACATGCAGACAGGGGTGAACATAAAGGGCACAGCAGCATCTTCTCTTTTTTTCCTAGTCAGATGTGCTTGCCCAGAGCACCAACTGCCACAGCAGCTCAGACATCCCCCGGCCTGAGTCCCGACTGGTGACAGGCTTCAGAGAATGAACTGGGCAGGCTGGTGGTGGCAGCCAGCTGTGCTGGGCTTCCCAGAGGTCTCCCACTCCTCTGCCTCAGTAGTCTGGGAATACTGTATGCACGCCATAACAGACTGCATGTTGAAGTGAGTGGTCTTTGTGCATCCTCAGCCACAAGACAGAGGGTCAACATGGTCTTGAAACAAAATTCTTCAATTGAAAATTGTTGTTAAAAATCATTCATGCAGGTTCCTAACACTGAAGTTCCTATAAACACAGATATTTCACAGCCAGACAGTGCATTCTCTATTCCTGAAAGAAAAGAAAAGTTGTATCTTTTTTTTTAAAGCAGAGAGGGAAAAGTGACCATTATATAGAACAAGGCGTGTAGTAAAGAGAACAAATTCTTCAGCTCCACGGCAGTAGAATTGTGTTTAATCATATTCAGCTCTTTTCTCCTGGTCCAGGCATGTCCAGAAAAAATCAATCTCACGATCAACATGCCACAGGAATCTCATTTTTTAATTTAGCACTCTAAGGGATTCTCTTTTGAGCCTTCTGATCAGACAAGAACAATTACTGTGCCTCTAAAGTCTCCCCTGCATCCAGTCTCCAATTAGTCACATCTGGTAACAGTTTTTTGATGTAAAAATAAGGTCATCTCTTCAGCTGCTTATGTCTAAATCAGGAGACGCTGCCATAGCTCATTCACAAAACAACACCTCACTCTTCCCAGCCACCCCAGGGCCTTCTGCATCCAGGTTTTCAAAATCATCACCTTTTAAAAAACTTTGTCTGGGCTGTAAGAATGCCACCGATTAAACTTTTGTTTGCTTGAGATACTCCAGGTGTTTTGAGAAGCACACAGGCTAAGCCAAGCACTTGAGTGCGTGTGTTTCAGTTCACTAAACAGAGCTGAGATCAGTGGGACATGGACACATCCAAAATTGAGCCTGTACTTCAGTGCTGTGAGTCCAGAACTTTCTCCTTCAGTTTGTTTTCTTCTTTTCAGAACTTTAAACTCTGTTGTGGGTTTTTTCTTCAACTTCTTTCAATTCTGTCATGGAGAAAGGTCACAGTCTTCACAGTTTGTTGGTTTTCTTGTCTGATTTCAGTCAGGCCTTGAAGGCAGCTGCTTCTCACCTACTTTTGTTCAAGATGAAAAGACACGTTGGGCATGATGGCACTTGAGCTTACTGTAGAAGCACTCCCCCTCCCCATCAATGTATCTTTTTCCTTTAGGCAAGTGCCAGCAAAGCTTGCCAACCGTTCAAAACAAAAGGTTAGTGGGGGAAAAAACCACTGTATATTCAAAAAAGGTCATGAAAAACAAAGGAAGACGCTAGCAAAAAATCCCCAATTCTTCTCCTTTCACATGGGGCTTGGCTCTTCCTCTGGTGGGGGGCAGAGATGAGGCCAGCCTGGCTGGGGAGCCAAGCCTAAGCCACATTGCGAGGACACAGGCCCTCACAGCACTGCCCACCCGACCTGGTGGGACTGCCAGAGATGGGATAGAGCTCCTAATGCCCCAAAGACCTCGGAGATGCGAATCCCTGACCTCCATCCTTGTGCACAGCATTGCTGAGGAGCCAAAGCAGGAGATATCCCATGGCACAGCTAAGAGAGGCAGGCAACAGCAGGTGCTGGGCTCAGCTTTGAGATCTGGGCACTTTTCCTAGGATCTTATGGGGACTCCTGGGAGCTCTTTGGAGATAAAGCTGCAAACAAGTTCATTAGAGGCGATATGCTGGGGAGGTTTGTGGGGAGGTTTGCTGCTCGCTAGGGGCTTTGATCTGGGGTGTTGTGGAGAGGCTGCCAAGGCCTGTCAGTTCTGGGACTGTTACCCCCTGTTGCTCTTCCATGGAGGCACTAACAATGTCAGGGGAGACCCAGAGCATATCAAGCACGAGTGCATGGATCCAGGGGTGGTGGCCAAGGGCACGGGGACCAAAGCGGTGTCTCCTCAATCCCGCCAGAGAGGGAAAGGTCTTGAGGAAGAGTGGGTGGATCTTACAGGTCAACAAGCGGTTGCACAGCTGGTGTCAATAAGAAAGATTTGTCTACAAGACTTTGGGAGCCTTTTTGACGATCGAGAACTGCTTGGAAGAGATGGGATCCACATGACCAAGTGGGGCAAAAATGTCTTTCCCGACATGCTGGCCAACCTGGTGAGGAGAAGTTTTAAACTAGAAGTGATGGGGGAGAGAGACCATGACCTATAATCAAGTGAGGAAGTTGTTGGCAAAGGGTGAGGGGTGACGTGGACAAGAAACCTCATAATCAACATAAAACAGAAAGGGGCAGAAAGGGGCCCATCCTAGGGGTATGCACACAAATGAGGGTGAGCCCACATGGCAGCATGGTGGGGGAAGATCTCACACCTTTTCTGGGAAATCAGAACAACTGGGAGTTGCCTTTATGTGAGATAGCAGCAGGCATGCAGGTGGCTCTGCCTTGGGAGGGGTGATGAGCCAGCTGACAGCTTATGGGTCAGGGTTAGAGGGTAGATCTGCATGGACGGCATTGTGATAGGTGTCTACTGCAGACAGGAGGAAGTAGACAACTGCAAGAACCAAAATGTAAAACCAGTGTGTATATATACCTAAAACCAGAAAAGTTTTATGCACATAAACCCAAGATGGTGGTGGGACACCATGGGACGTGGTCTCCTACCTGAGAGGAATCATGGGCCTCAGTGTATTGGAGGCCTCAACCCAGACAGAGCTCAGGGGGAGGATGCCGGCATCCTTCTTGCAGGCAGCAGGCAGTGCCCGGCTGCTGCTCCAGGGCTGGGGCGGGGTGGCGGTGGTCTTGTAATGGGATCTGTGCACTGGATGAGGAGCTGTTGGCAGGCGAGGGAGCTGCGGAGGAGCTGGGCAGCTGCACACCATTGGGGAGGATGAACATGAGATTGACAGGCTCTGTGCAGAGGCTGAACAGCCCCAAGGTCCCTTCCAAATGGAATTATTCCATGATTCTGTGATATAAGGACAAACAAATGTAAGCAGATCTTCCTTAACATGAGCATGAAGGAAACTCTGAGCACAGGTAGTTTAGCAACAGGTGGCATGAGTAGATTCATAAAGCTAAGGTTTTTTGACCTCAGTAATGCTGAAGCTGTAACCTCAAGTTCTTGATCCAAGGTCTTGTATCTCATACCCCGAGGAAGGTGTAGAGCTACAAGAATGCTAAGATGGCTAAAAAATCTGACCTGTAAAGAAATATCAAACAGACTCAGACTGTTAACTGAAAGAAGACAAACTGAATGAGAAACATCGTAGGAGCCTGAAAATGCTTCAAACTATCCTTGGATGGTTCCAAAGAGGAAAGAAATCCCCCAGTCTATGCTTGTGCTGAGTATGACCAAAGCACAGTATTCCTAAATCTTCATAGACTTGTAAAGCGCTGGCATGTTGTCTACAGCCACGTGGACAGCCTACCACATGGAAAACCCCTAATTCTAGTACAAGAGTTTTTGTTAAGTGTTTTGACCCACTGAAGCAAAATGAATGAAAATGCCATAACCTGCTGCGTTTACTTGAGTTTCAGCCCTGGATAGCTGCGTTTTGCTTGTGGCAATGAATTGTCCCCTGGTTTGCCTGTTCCCACGGACATCTGGGAAGCGTTCTTTTGCCTTCAGGTTCCCCATAGATCCACTGCCTCTCTAAACACAAACAAGCATGTAGAGAAAGTGAGGCAGAGTTAGCAGTGGGGTTTTGGGTTTTTGTCACCTAGGGTAAATACCTAGCTGAGTGAAGATGCTGTATGTTCTCCACATTCCCCTGTGGTGGGTTGACGTTGGCTGGATGCTTGATACCCACCTAGCCACTCTCACTCCCCCTCCTCAAGGGAACAGGCAGAGAAAATACCATGAAAAAGCTCATGGGTTGAGATAAGGGCGGGGAGATGCCTCACCAGTTACAATCCTCGCATTCTCTTTTCTTCTTAGTAAAATACTTCTGTGTTCTTATATTATTTGAAAACATTATTTGTTTGTTAACTTTGAAAAAGAGCCAGTAAGGCTTGAAGTGGGAGCTTTTTCCTAATGACGGTGTTTGGCTTCGCTGGTGGCTCAGCCAAAGTGTGATGTAGCCCTCCTCCTCAGCCCAACTCCTTAGACATATTTTCTCCAAAGAGCATATTTCAGGAGTTCATGTTGCTACTCTTTTTGTTTGTCCTGAACCAACCATTTCCTGTAGTGCAAACTTCAGTAAAATAGTGTATATAGAATCAAAAGAAAAAAATGTAGTTCCTGTTTTACAGCCACAGTTCAGGAATAACTTTATTATTCAGAAGATGTGAGGAAACTTGGTGAGTTTCACTTTCAGAAACATGAGAGTTGTTCAAAGTTGTTGTTGAAGAAGGTTGCCACTCCTGTGCAGTAGATCCAAGAAGCTGATATACATATGAGCAATTGGCTATAGTATGTACAATATCTAGAATAGAAAACTTTGTAGTAATGAAATGCACAAGTTCCTGTTTCCTTTCTTTTTACTAGTAAAGAAATGAATTGCTGCAGAGATTAGAAAGTAGGATTTTTACGACCTGTATCTGTGTTTCTCATTTGTCTTCTCAAATTTCCTTCTAACATACTGGGCAGTTTCATTCATTGTTACGCAAAAGAAGCCAGTGACCAACAAATGAAGAAATGACCAAGTGACGAATTGCACAGACTCATTGTAAATCGAGGATGAGATTTCTGGTAGCGCTCGGCATCTGCCCTGACTGGGCACTATGTGACGTGAAGGTGAATATCGATGATTTATCCAGAATCACAGAATCGTAGAAACATAGAATGGGTTGGGTTGGAAGGGACCTTAAAGATCATCTAGTTCCAACCCCCCTGCCATGGCAGGGACAGCTTCTGCTAGACCAAGCTGCTCAAAGCCCAGTCCATCCTGGCCTTGAACACTGCCAGGGATCCATAGCTTCTCTGGGCAACCTATGCCAGTGCCTCACCACCCTCATAGTGAAGAATTTCTTTCTTATATCTAATCTAAATCCACCTTCTTTTAGTTTAAAGCCATTACCCCTTGTCCTATCCCTAGAAGCCCTTGTAAAAAGTTCCTCTCCAGCTTTCTTGTAGGCCTCCCTCAGTTACCAGAAGGCCGCAATAAAGGTCTCCCTGGAGCCTTCTCTTCTCCAGGCTGAGCAGCCCCAACTCTCTCAAAGAAGAGGTGTTCCATCCCTCTGATCATTTTTGTGGCCCTGAATTCTGAACTCAAATGCCCCCTTGACTTTACCTACAGTACTTAAAAGTGCTACTGTCAAGGTTCTCCACAGAACTCTTTCCAAGCAGAAAATCTTGTATGAGTGGGACCAGACCTGTATTTCCAGAGCTCCAGCAGTCAGTTAAGGACAGAAGCCTCTCCAGTCCTCCCCAAATTCCTGATAAATGTCCCTTATATACACACAGCTTAGCTCTTTATTGAACACGGTTGAATGGTGAATGTTCAGACGTATCACTCATGTGTTGGACAGGTAGTCACTGCTTCGCTAGCAAGCCCACTGCATGGAGGAGATCTCAGGCTTACTCTGCAAACAGTCATTTGAGCGGTAGATGATGGCACCTGGATACAACCTGGCCACTGCAGAATCCATGGGTACCTTCATAAACTTCTCTCTAGGAGATATGGGACAGAAATATGGCCCGTCTGTAATATTGGTATACTCAGTATAAATGGCATTTTCAAAGCAACTAAATAACAGCATAAGGCACGTATTCAGGAATCACTTATGCATTCAGGAATCTGTTTCATCAAAAATAGAATTTAGAGTACATTTTCCTAAAGTGCTTGTTTTTTATTTCTTTGAAGTTTTGCAGTGTTTATTGTGGGCTCCCTGAGGTTTGCAACTGGTTTGACAGTCAGAGAAACATTACTTAATGCCTTGGCAAAGTATGTACAAGGTCATATTAAGGTATCATTTTTTAAACAGAACTCCTACAGAAAACAGCTGAACACTAACTGTACTAATGGATCTGAATGTGCTTGTATCAATGTGTTATTTTACTGCATAAAGAAATCAATGTTATTAAAAAAAAATCATAGCAATCATAAGGACATCACCAATTTGAGAGTGCTATTTACTGAGTAGCTAGAGACCAATTTTCCAGTCTTCCTGTTTAAATTAATGAATATTTAAAGAGGAGACTAATTTGATTTCCCTAAAACCTGCCCAGTTTCATTAACACAGCAGGGGAAAATACAAAATATGTATTTGAATGCTTTGTTCTTCAGGAAAAGCTATTCTACCTCTGATGTGTGGAAGATTAAAAGAAACCAGTGATTAAAATAGTATTAACAGAGTTTGTATCACTCCTGTTATTTCCCAGTCTTCAACACTGGCAAGTGAAAGATGGTTAAATTCATATTTTTTAATGAGGCTGTTCAGGCAGTAATATACATGCTTTGTGGGAAGGCTGAAAAACCCACATTTTTCTCACAAAGCAGCGACAACCATTTGGAGGGGAGGGCAACTCCAACACGACAGAAGTGTGGTGCGGTCTAGGATGTCTCCCAAGTACAGTGACACGCTATTAAAGCCATTCTGAATGTCAACAAGGTTCACTGTGCATGAAGACTGAAAATGATACAGAAGCAGTCCCTTATCTGGGTAGAACAAAGACTGTCAGAAAACTTTTTTTTTTTTTGTGGATGAATTTCATTTACCTTTTCAACAGATTTTTAAATCTTTTGTAAAATGCTCCAAGGGGGCATAGCACAGTGTGAGACTTGTAATCAGCCTGAAAAGAGTGACAGAAAGCTGGCTCATTTGGTCTCTCTCAGTGCTTTCCTTTATTCTAACCCGTCTGTTCAGAGCTTAAATCACAGGAAATCTGAGTGTTTAACTCTTACAGCAGGTAGCAGAAAAAAGCACAACGGAACCTGAGCAGAATATTTGACGTAAAATCTACATTTAGAAGCAAATCAGGGGCATGACTCACCTGCCTAAACCAATTATTGTACATGCATAGCCTTTTTTGTTGTTGATCCACCTGACAAGTGAATGCATAGATTTAACATGAAAAAAAGTATCATCCTTAGCTTTTAATGAAGGAAGCAACTAATTGAGTAAACACAAATTTGGAGGGAAAAAAAAAAAAAGAGTATATATTAGCTGACTGACAGCAGAAAAAAACCCCAGTCTTGGTGTGGAGCTCTAGAAG